GTTCTCAGTCCGCGTCTGCCGGTTCCTCGCTGGGTTCGGTCACTAAGCGTCCAGCTGCCCGGGACCCCCATTCCCGCTAATTCCCGCGGCGAATGGGCAACATCCCCGTGGATCTGCGAGCCGGCCTTGGTCAAGGTCACGGCCGGACCCGAGACAGCCCCTCTGCTGGCCGCCCGTGCTCACTGGCCGGTTCGGGGTTCTCCTGTCCCCAGGCAGGGAGAGGGCACCCCTGAACCCCAAAACTGCCTGCTCTAAAAGATTCTGCCGTGTGCTGCATCAAGACAGAGCAGTAAGACCTTTCACGGGGAGGGACTTCACACAGCCCATGTGAATAGACTGCACATTAAACCCCAGAATGACCCGTTCCCGGGCTACGTCCCCCCGAGAGCGACTGGCCCAGAGGAGGCCGGGAGCCCCCCGTCCAAGGCCCCTTCGGGGGACCATGGGAAAGAGGCAGAAACGGCAAACGGGTCCGGGAGGAAAGAGCCACAGCACAGCAAGGTCAACGCCACCACTGTCACCCGGCCCCCCCCACACCTGCGTCCCCCAGTCCAGGGCCACCCGGCTCTGCCCCCGGGGCCTCCCCAGGCCTCCCCTGGGTCCCTCCTGCTCCTCCCTCCTCAGTCTCCCCCAGATTTCCCGCCTGCTCAGCTCCCCCTCCGCTGGGGGGCAAGGAGCCTGGAGCCCCCCTCTTCCTGGAGACCCCCTTTATACTCCCAAACTGGGGCCCACTTCATGTCCACGCGGCTGCTCCTCCCCTCGCCGCTGCAGCCCAGACCGGGCCGCGTGTCTTCTCCCGGGTGGAGAGAAGGTTCTAGAACGCTCCCCTCGAGTGCCTGACTCCTGACGCGCCATGTGAGCGCAGCCTCGCTGACCATCGCCCCCCACACCGGTCACGGCGAGGCTTGTCTGACCGCCCGGCCGAGCTGGGCAGGGCCGGACAGACCTGGGCGTGGGGCCTCAGCCCTGCCAGCGGCTGACCGGCCCCCTCCGCCCGCAGGTCAATGCCAAGGACGACGAGGGCGTGCTGGTCGGGTCCTGGGACAACATCTACGCCTACGGCGTCCCGCCGTCCGCCTGGACGGGCAGCACTGACATCCTGCTGGAGTACCGCAGCTCCAAGAAGCCCGTCCGCTACGGCCAGTGCTGGGTCTTCGCTGGCGTCTTCAACACGTGTAAGTGGTCGGCTGGGGACAGCTCCTGGAAAGTCCACCAGCCGCTGCCCGGAGGATTTATGGGTGGCTATTCTGGGAGGGCCATGCATAATTGAGCTGCGGGGCCAAGCGGCCGAGCGCAGCCTTTCCCGGGTGTGAGCCTTCACAGTGAGAAGGACGGGCCGCTTCCTGGTGATCTGTCATGCAACCCCGGCGGGAGTGTGGGGGAGGAGACGCCGTTCCTCGGCAGAAAGCCCCATGTTGTCAAGGCTGGAATGTGCAACTTTTTCTTTTTTGCCTTTCACCGTCTCAGTTGCAATCCCCATAGGCTTCCCATCACCAAATCACCCCTTTGCCGTCACCACAGTCCTGTGCACCTACCACCCCCACCCCGGCAATTTTGATCCCATTCTCCACTCCACCCCCATAAAATATCTCTGGTAATAATATTCATAATTATAATTATTATTATTATCATCCCCACCCACTGGCCCTTGATGCTCCTGCTATGAGTGACACCATCTGGTATTTTTCCTTTCCTTTTTGGCTTATTTCACTCAGCACGATCCCTTCCAGCTCCATCCATGTTGCTGCAAAAGGCAGGAGTTTATCTTTTTGATGGCTGCGTAATATTCCATAAATGTGCCGCTTTTAAAGCAGTAAGAATGGGAGTGCACGTTGTCTGTGGCGGGGTTTGCAGCTGGCGCCCGGGCAGCTGAGGCCGTGTCCACAGCTTGGCCTGACTCACGGGGGGCCCATGTCCAGCACGAGGGGGTCAGGGTCAGGCTGCCCATCCCCTCCCCTCCCGCTTTCACGCCGGCCCCCCAGCCTGGCGGGGAGGACACTGGCAGGGGCCACCCCCTTCGACCAAGCCAACTGTTCGCACCTTGGCATGCTGGCCAAGTCCACGCCGGCCAGGGAGGGACCCCAGGGCGCAGCAGACACCCCTTGTCTCCAGGCAGCACCCTCAGCCGTGGGTCTCAGCAGATCCGCCTGCTCTGCCCCCCTCTGTCTCCGGGGCGTCCGCTCACCCCAGCCCCGCGCCTCCGGCTGCACCCAGCTCTTGCAGCATCAGTAAACCAGCCTCAGAGAGCGCGTGCCGGCCCGTGTCCCCGCAGTTCTGCGCTGCCTGGGCATCCCGGCCAGGGTCATCACCAACTACTTCTCGGCGCACGACAACAACGCCAACCTGCAGATGGACATCTTCTTGGAGGAGGACGGCAGCGTGAGCTCCAGGCTCACCAAGGACTCCGTGTGGTGAGTCTGGCGGCGGGCCTCGGCCGCGGGGGCGAGTGGCCGGTGGCGAGGACGCGCCGGTGGGCGGCGGGGCTCCTGGCCCCCAGGGCACCGGGCCGGCGTGAGCACACCCGTGGCTCCTCCCACCTCGCTGCACGTGCCCTGGAGGCTGAGGTGACCTGTCCACGGTCTCCCCAGTCAGCGGGCGGGAAGCAGGTGTCCGGCCCTGAGCCCCGCCCTGCCCTCCTGAACCCCGACACCCCGCGGCGGGCAGCGGTGCATCCCCACACTGTAGGGGCGCTCTCCAGGGCCCGCCCTGGGTTCTCGGCCGCGTTGCCCAGGCCTGTGCGACTCAGGGGTGCGGAAAGGTGCTCCCCACCGCGCCGGGCTCTTTCTTGGCCCTGCACAGCTCACCGCTTTGGGGACCCAGACCCCAAAGAGATGCCCATTTCCAGGCGCGTGGCCCTGGCCTGTCGCCCTCCCCCTGCACCACGCTCCGAGCTCCACGTCTGCCTGGCCCTGCCCTCCTGCCGCCCCCACGGCCCACTCTGGCACCCGGCCCGTCCGGGCTGCCCCGGACCCTGCCGACCAGCTCCTCCAGGCAGTGGCCACCCCGCCGTAGGCAGAGAGCTGACAGGCTGGGCGAGGGCGGGGAGGGCCGGGCCCCAGCTGGCCCTGAGGCCAGAGGGGCTGGGGACACGTGGCCCAGACCCCCAGGTGGACGCCAAGAGCGCCCCCTGCAGAGTGGAGCCGTGAGTGCTGCCCACCGAGGGCGTCGTGGTCCAGGGCAGCGCCCCCTGGAGCCCTGTCCTGCCAGCTGGTGGCCAGGAGCGGACCCACCCCGGTGGGTCTCCGTGGGGCACACGGACCGGCACGTCGGGGGTGCTGGGGGGCCACTCTGCCCGCGGAAACGCAGCCCGGGCCAGCGTCCACCTGAGTCGCCGCCATGGTCTCGCCGGGCAGGGGCGTCCTGCGCATGGCGGGGCCCGAGCTCCTGGGGCTCATTGCGGGCGCGGTCTCCTAGGAACTACCACTGCTGGAACGAGGCATGGATGACCAGGCCCGACCTGCCCGTGGGGTTCGGAGGATGGCAGGCCGTGGACAGTACCCCGCAGGAGAACAGCGACGGTAACGCCTCGGCCAGGAGCACCCCTGGGGAGCAGAGACCGGGGAGCAGAGACCGGGGACACCCTCCCGGGGAGCATCCTCCCAGGATCACCCTCCTGGGGAACATCTCCCAGGGAGCACCTTCCTGGGAAACATCCTCCCGGGGAGCACCCTCCCGGGGAGCACC